GGCTGCACCCACGGACCAGCACCAACTGTCCGACGTGCCACAGTGAGATGAACCCAGTACCTCAGTTGAAAATGCAGAATTCACCCATCTTCTTTGTTGCTCACGCTGGGAGTTGGAGGCTGGAGCTGTTCCTATTCGGCCCTCTTGGGCGCGTGCCCATCCCCCCCCCTTTTTTTTTTGAGACAGAGTCTCACTGTGTCACCCAGACTGCAGTGCAGTGGCGCAATCTCAGCTCATTGCAACCTCCATCTCCCAGGTTCAAGCCATTCTCTGCCTCAGCCTCCCGAGTAGCTGGGATTACAGTTGCCCACCACCACATCTGGCTAATTTTTGTATTATTAGTAGAGACCAGATTTCACCACCTTGGCCAGGCTGGTCTTGAACTCCTGACCGCATGATCCACCTGCTTCAGCCTCCCAAAGTGCTGGGATTATAGACGTGAGCCACCACACCCAGCCATAGATTGGAATTTAAACTCAGTTGTGTGTTGCTTTAAAGCCAGCTTCCTCCAATTTTATCACCCATTTGTACACATTTTATGGTACCAAAGTACAGCTTCACTCTTGTATATTCTTCCTTGTTTCATTTTTCCCTGTGGCATTTTTAAGATGTCTTAAGTTATTCTGAAGCTAAAGATTGTAGAATAGTACTTTGCAGTAGACTTTTCTCTCATGATGCAATTGTCCAAGATGATGGCCAATAACTATACAAGGTTATCAAGGCCTTGAAATATGGCTAGTGCAACTCAGGAACTGAAGTTTAATTTTTATTTAAATGTCAGTGGCTACATGTGTATTTAAATGTATTTAAATGTCAGTGGCTACCTTATTGGATGGTACAGTTATAGAGGATATGAGTCAAAGAGACTGAGGATAAAGTTTTCCTTATAACTATTGCCTGAAAGGGCACCTTAAGAAGCATCTTTGCGTTGCTCCTTCCCTCTCTTCCAAAGCAACTAACATCTTTCCTCTAATCCTAACCTCGTCTTTCCCAAGGATGTTGTCTTAGGTCAGCAGTTCTTTGCCCTGTCCTGTGTTTCTGCCTTCACATTCTTTATGTGTGTAACATACCCTTAGTGCCATCTCTCATTTTGGATGATGATTCTAAAGCAGAAAGTAGAGAGAGGAAATGTCAGAATCCAGGATAATTGATGAGCATTAGATTAGTGACACAGTTTGGTGAGTTTTGACAAATCTGACCACCGCTTTAATCAAGATGTAGAATATATCCATTGCTCCAAAAAATTCTTTCATGGCTTTTGCAGCCGATCCCCCTCCTCCTCACCCCTAGCACTAGCAACCACTGATCTGCTTTCTGTAACTATAGTTTTGTCTTTTCCAGAATTTCATCTAATACACAAAGTCTTTTGTGCCTGACTGTTTTTTCCTAACATAATGCTTTTGAGGTTCATTTTTGTTGTTGCAAGTGTTAGTATCAGTAGTTCATTCCTTTCTAGTGCATAGTTTAGCTGTCGGCCTGAATTTGGATGGTTTATGTTTTGAATGTAAGCCATTTTCTTTGTGTGGTTCTCTCACAATCAGTATTTTCCCCCTTACATTTCCAGCTTCTTTTCCAGCCCTGAACTCTAATCTCTGTCACATTTTGTTGATGAGGCTGTAGTTTTTCCCCGGCTGTTTTGCAGCCATTGCCGTGTGTGGTAGTTGGATACTGTCTCCAAGCTAAGAAGCCAAAAATTCACAATTTATACTTCTTCCATTTGCAATTTTTTGAAATTAAACTCTCTTACTGTTTCCATCTATATTTTGGACACTTTCCAGGATTTGACAGTTTTTAAAATGTGATCTTTATAATTCTTATCTGCTGGGAGTTCACAGGACCACTTCTCTGCCGATAGTGGAAACTGAGCGTCCTCCTGGAAAGCTTTTGGGATTAAATAAGTATCTTTATATGACTGTCTTTGTACACAGAAGTATTTGGTTTAATGTTTTTGACCATATTTTTTAAAATGTGGATGTTTAAAGAAATATTGCCTTTTTAAATTTTTACCATAAATGAGGACTGTCTCTCTCATTACTACCTATTACTTCTTTTATTATGCCACTATTGCTTTCTTAAACTCCTTTCAAAGCAGATTACCTGTTATTCCACAAACTCATGTTGAACTTTCCTATCACTGTGCCTTTGCTTTGATTTCATGTTGTTAGCCATAATTTTTAAAATGTAAATTTTATGTATTTGTGGACATTGTAGATTTTATGTTTTTGTAGAAAGGTAGAATTCATGTCTTTGACCATAATTTCAAGAATGTAAATATTTACACAGATACTGTCACTTTTTTTCCTAAGCATAAATGAAGCCTGCTTCTCATTACTCTCATTTTACTACCTTTTCACTCCCCTATTATTGGTCTCCTTCCAGACTGCATTGTTTTCTATCTCACAAAGCCATGAACTTTTCTCCTGTCCCTTTGCTCATGCTGTCCTAGCTTCCTGAAATGCTCTCCCTTATTTGCCCTGGATTTTCAGCCTGTTGAATGTTCTTCTTTTAAAGCACATGTCAAATATGACCGTCTTCATTATTTTTTTTTCATATACTTTACCTTTGAATACAGCTATTAATATTTTGTTCTTAATCTCCTCTACTTAATATTAAACATCTTATTTCTATAAGTGTTTTGCATGTTGTGGTTGCATGGTATGTCTTTAATTGGCCATAGTAACTACATTGTCTTAAATTTAAACTTTCTTTGGCCGTGCGCAGTGGCACACGCCTGTAATCCTAGTACTTTGGGAGGCCAAGGTGGGCGGATCACTTGAGGCCAGAAGTTTGAGAGCAGCCTGGCCAACAAGGTGAAACCCCATCTCTACTAAAAATACAAAAAAATTAGCCAGGCATGGTGGCGCATACCAGTAGTCCCAGCTACTCAGGAGTCTGAGACATGAGAATCACTTAAACTCAGGAGGTGGAGGTTGGAGTGAGCCAAAATTGCACCACTGCACTCCAGCCTGGGCAGACAGAGTGAGACTGTCTCAAAAAAATAAAATAAAATAACCTTCTTGCAAAATATTTAATTTTATAGCCATGTTTTAGTTTTCTTAGGTGGAAAATAAGGTCAATTGTAAAGTCATATATGACTATAGAGAAGTTACACTTCTAATTCATTTATCTTAACCATTATTACATAACAAAGAGAACTTTAAAGCATAATGAATTCTTTTCTTAGCAGTATTTTCATAATGTTTGATATTATGCTACTAGAGTTCCCCCTCTCTATACAATAGGACAAGCACAGAATTTAGACTCATTCACAATCTATTAATATGTTTGTATTTTGGAAAAACTGGAAACAATTTCTACCATTTATGTGCTAGTCTTCATAAGAAATTTGTGTTTGTTCTGAGTTGTTCCTTGTATTATTGAGCTAGCCAAAGAAAACACCCTGAAACCAGTTACTTTACTGCTAATTTATATAGCTCTTCTCCTCAGGATTCTGGAATACAAAATATGTTGTTGCTGTTACGTTTCAAATAGATTGCTGTAAATTTAGGAGATTTCAAACCTTCCTTATAAAGTATTATACATTCGATTTGGTGACTGAAGAAGTTATAAGGAGATATTCTGACAACTGATTTTTAATTCCAATTATGATCACCTGGAGGTGACTTGACACAATTACCATCTCATGTGTATACATTAAACATTCACTTCCTTTGGCCCCAGGAAGTGTCTACCTCTCTTCTCTCTAGAGCCCTCAACATACTTCCCATCCTCGGATTCTGGAACCCTTGGTGCTGCCACTGCTCAGAGAAAATATGTTTCACATATTCCAGATTCAAACTGAAAATATAATTTCACCAAAGAAAGTAATAAACTCAATAACCATTGAGGCTTCATTGCCTGAGATCAGGATATTATCTGAGAAAAAACCCATTGTCAACCATATTTATTTATTCATTAACCTATTCTGCAAAATATTTGATCTCCACCTATGTGCCAAGGAGTAGTATATGTGCTAGAGGTGGAGCAGTAAATAAAATGATATCCCTGGCCTCAGGGATCTTATATTCTTCTGGGAGAATGTACATAAAGTAAAAATTCTGTAAATCATTTCCCTGTTTCATATATGAATTATGTTGTGAGTTGTAATACAAATAAAATTTGCAGCATATTATTCTGCCCTTGTAATACAGCATTATAGGTTTTTGGGCTGAGTAATAATAAGCACTTTGATAGCAATTAGTATAAGCCAGGTTCTGTCCTAAGTGTTTCGTCAGTGTGTTAGCTCATTTAATGTTTATAGGAGCCCTATAAGATATGATTAATATTATCCTCATTTTATAGAGGAGCAAAGTGGGACACAGAGAGATTAAGTCCAGGGTCATTTAGTGAGTATTAAAGTTAAGATTTGGGCCACCACAGCTTAACCCCAAAGCATCTATGTTTTTAAACATTGTACTCTACTATCTTAGCTTTTAAAATTGATGTTGTGACAGATTTTCATATCCTTCATGAAATTTTCTTGGTGGTTATCACAGTGATCACTTATCTAAAGCATTTTTATTTCTTTAACATTCTAGGTTATTTTGTCATGTTTCATACTAAACAAACTACTTCCTCTGTTTCTGATGCTAAACTAAATAAAATACAAATTGTATCTAGTATCATCCTTTCTATCAATTCATATTTATCTTTAGCATTAGGTTTAGTTTTGTGTACCAGAATCCAAAAGAAGTTGTTAAAATGTTGTTTTAGATCTGCTTTCTCTAACTTCTAAAAAAGACAGAATTTAGTAGCAAAATTGTTGGGTTTCAGCTTATTTCATTTTTCAAAATAAAATTGCCAATAAATAGTAAAAGGAAGAAAAAAGGGAAGTAGAATAAAAGTCCTGAACTCTAAAAGCCAGATCATTTCTGTAGCATATAGACTTGCAGAATTTTGTCTAAGGGGTTAGTAAATCTGATTTTACTTTACTTATTATGTCTATATGCTTGATATTATTTTTAAATATTGATTTATTGATCTCTCCTCTTTCTTTTTAGTATACTGTGTGGAATTTTGTTCCAAAAAATTTATTTGAACAGTTCAGAAGAGTGGCAAACTTTTATTTTCTTATTATATTTTTGGTTCAGGTAAGCTTTATTACTCAATATTAAGTTTGTAAACATAGTTCCTAAAAATATGTCTTAGAACAAAGAAAAATTATGTTTTGTTAATCATTTGACCATGTGACCATTTTTTCTGCAGTGCTTCTGCATTGTATTCGGTGAATACAAGTCATATCTAGATTTCTAAAAGAAATAGCCTATAAACTTTAAGATCAATTGTATATTGTTTCATCAATAATGTACTGTAGTACTTAGATTAACCATAATCTTAGCTAAGAATGTAGTCTAACGTCTTTCAGATATTCTGCCTCAGAACATAAATATTTAGGCTTTTAATATATAGTGCATGTTTTTGGTACGTTTCTGCCTATGGAATCATCTTTGTACAAAGTAAACTTTTCTTTGGCTTTTAATTTTTTAATTTAAATTTAACTTAAATGTAAGTTATTTAAAAGAATTGTAAGTTTTAAGTATCCCTGTGGGTATAGATTTTTTTTCCAGGAGACAATTTTCTTTGCTTAAATCTGTGTCTATTATAGGCTGTTAGACAGTTTCTTAATTTTCACCCTGTGCTTAAAAAATTATATATATATACACATACACACACACACACACATATATAAAATCAAGAGAACAGCCCATGAAACATGAGTATAAGTCATTTTAAAATAGTGATTGCCATTTTCCTTTAAAGAAGTTATTCTTTTCTGATAAAACTTTGCAATTCCAGTGTAGCATTGAATGTATAAAACTCTGAACTCTTCTCTCAGTAGAACCTGGGATTTCAAATGAAAAATTGAAACTTGTCAAATATTCATTTTAATACTTTAGGAAACATTTGCTTTAAAAAAAAAATTGCTCTCCTTCATGAACAGAGAAGGAACTTCTGATTTTCTGCCCATAGACTGTTAGCTTCGTTTTCTTGGAAAAGCAAGAAATGTATACTAACCATATCCACGTAACATCCATACGTTTGTGAAATCACTAGCTAAGATGAATTCAACTTGTCTGGGGAATAGAACAAATTTAATTGGCCTATCTGGAGTAAAGGAACATCATTTTCCTAGTTATCTCCCTCTGGCTCTGTTGGATGTAACAAAATCACTTATAGAAAAAAATTCTTTCCATAGTCCCATTCCTAGTTTTCTTTCCCTAGTGTAGATATCATTCTGAATCCAAGGGTAAAAATTGCTGACAGACTTTTCAGCATTTATCAGGATGTACAAAGAAATGTGAAATGAAATCTGAGTAGCTGTAGTTCCACTCCTTGGCGAATATTGAAGAACTTAAGGACTCTTTGTGTTTAAGTTACCGAGTCCAGTCTAGCCATGTATGTGGAAAGGCAATAGATTTAAATAATCTTCCAACCCCACATAATAGCCAACAAAGTGAAGTTGTAAAATTGTCAACTAAAGTATACTCGCTGTGTAATGTGAAATTTTACATGTTAATAGTATGATGTGCACAATATAAAAATATTCTCTATTCTCTTTTATAAATCTAGCTTATGATTGATACACCTACCAGTCCAATTACCAGTGGACTTCCATTATTCTTTGTGATAACAGTAACAGCCATAAAGCAGGTATGAGATACTTTCTCTTTTTATTTTCCTCCAAGTCATTTAGAAATTGCTAAATATTTCCACTCCAAAGAACATTTATTGTTGTGAAAATAATTTCCGTGAGAAAGCAGCAAATTTGTCTGGTATGTAGTAAAATTAAACTGAATTAGCCACTCTGTTATATTTCAGGTACCTGGTGACTCATGGGATGATTAACATCATTAAAATATGTTGTTCCCTTGACAGAGCTAGAAAGCATCCAAAAACAAGTATTGTATATGTAGAAATCAATTTATATATGAAATAGATTTCTTAATTATTATCTTTGTAGAGTTTGGTGATATTTAAAGGAAATACAATTCAAAAAAGATATGTTTATAGAGAGCAGGGTATGTACTTCTGGTGTGAACATTTGTGAGTAAAAATTATGTAGTTCAAAAATTAGGGTGTGGTGGCACATACCTGTGGTCCCAGCTACTCGGTGGGCTGAGGCAGGAGGAACGCTTGAGCCCAGGAGGTGGAGGCTGCAGTGAGCCATGATTATGTCACTGCACTCCCACCTGGTTGACAGAGTAACACCCTGTCCTAAAAAAAAAAAAAAAAAAAAACAAAAAGGAATCCAGAAGATGCTTTTGCTGTAAGCCAGAATATGCTTTGCTGGTCATACAGTTTTCAAAGAGAAAATTTGATCCACAAAGATTTTCTGCTTAACTTAAAACAAAATTTTGAGACTCAGGGTTTTCTCTTTTGCAACATCTATTCCTAACTTTTTCTCATTTAATAAATACACAGAATACTTCCATACATTGTTCAGATTTATGTATCTATTTAATGCTATAGATCAATAGAACAAATTTTGGAAAAATTGTAAAAGTGAAAGTTACCATGTTCCAACGTTTCTTTCTTGTCTTCTCCCCTTTTAGTCTACCTTTTCCCTTTGTACTTCTATCAAAATAGGAAAAGGCTCCATTATCAATTACTTACACTATACTATGAATGAGGTTGTCAGTTGTTTGCTTGCTTTTAGGTTCTGCCAACTGTATTTACATATTAGGTCTTCTCTCCAGTTGTGTAATGCAAGATATAGTGCTCTAGGAAATAAGTCTTTGCCCTCCGTGATTCTAAAACCCATGAAATAGGAAGGTAAGACCAAATATAAAAATAATAAACCTGCACGTTATGCACATGTACCCTAGAACTTAAAGTCTAATAATAATAAAAAATAAATTAAAAAAAAGAAAATTATGGTTCCGTAGAGTAGTAGTAAAATTCAGGGAGCTGAGGCTAGCTATTTAGAGGAGGAAGGGAACACTTCATTTTCATCTGGATGATCAGAGATGATTTTGTGGAGGAAATATTATTTTTACAAAAATTTAAGAATTTATTCATGTTAAGGGTCATACTTCAAATCTGGGTAAAATATCGGACAATAAATTGTGATGTGATAATCATTTGAATATTTAGAAAAAATAGTTGGATTCATACTTCATACCCATATAGCAAAATAAAATACATTTGGATTATTAATGTAACTACAGAAGTAGTAGAAGTAAATACAGGTGAAATGTTATCTCATTTTCAATTTGGGAATTAATCAGTTAATCTACTGTTGTAAGCAAGGCAAGAAATCATATAGGAAAAATAAAAGGTGAGTGTTTAAAAAAAGTCTGAATAATATTAAAAGGAAACTGAAACATTTGTGTTATGTATAACAAAGGGCCTGTGCCCTTAATTTTATTTATTTATTTATTTTTTTTTTTGGAGACAGAGTCTCATTCTGTTGTCCAGGCTGGAGAACAGTAGTGCAATCACAGCTCATTGCAGCCTTGACCTCCCAGACTCAGGTGATCCTTCCACCTCAGTCAGCTAATTTTTGTATTTTTTTGTAGAGATGAAGTTTCACCATGTTGCTTGGTCTGGCCTCCAACTTTTGGGCTCAAGCAGTTCTCTCACTTCAGCTTCCCAAAGTGTTGTAATAATAGGCGTGAGTCACCATGCCCAGCTGATCTTAATTTTAAAAGATATCTTACCAAGAGCACATACCTTTCTCTTCAACATAAATAAGTGAAAAGGCATAGATCATCTCCAAGAAAATAAATGCAAATTGCTGACAAATAGATGAAAATATGAATTCTCATGGAGGAAATATTATTAAGATGAGTTTAGGAATATGGGCAAAATGACAGTTGATGAAGAAGATGAGGTAGAAATGAACGACCTGGGCAAAGGCCCAAGTGCAAAAAGAGGCAAGACCTATTTTGGGGAATTGTAAGTCGAACTAATGTTTGATTGTATTTAGGAAAGTACTACAAGATAATAGAAGTGTAGTTTGGTTCTAAATTAAGGAAGCCAGAAGATGCTTTGCTGTAAGCATTGAGAATCACTGAAGGGGTTTTGAGCAGGATAGTGAATCAAGACAATGCTTTGGGAAGATTAATCTGGCAGTAATGTGTAGGATGGATTAGAATTTATGAGCTTGTATTAAAAAAAGATAATGTTTGAATTATTGCTCTGCTATTAATGTCATCTGACTGTAAAGGAAAGTGTGCTTTTGACAGTTTCAGAAAAAATATTTTGACTCTCAATTAAATTTCTCTAAAATGACATACTGCAACTTAAATAAGGCCAACATAATTTATGTGTCTTAAGAGTACTTTCCCACAAGGTTTCCACCTGAAAACAGTATACCTTCAAAATAGTCTTTCATATTTTGCTTTTTATTTTATAATTTCTTAATATTTTAAAAATAATAGATGCACATTTTTTTAAGGGAAACAGCACAAAATAGCATATAGTAAATCTTAGACTCCTAATCCCCAGTCTTCTAGTTCTCCTACCCAGGGAGCAATTATTTGTAAGTTAGTCCAGATTACCTATACAAAGTGTTCACATAGGCAAGCATATCTTTTCACAGATGGTAACGGAGAACAAAACCTGTTCTGTACCTTATCTTTTTATTCACTTATTACTCTGTCTTAGATATCATTCCATTATCTATACTTGTCCTGTATCTCTTGAGTTCTTGAATTTTCGTAAAATGGCACAAGAAGTCTTTTCTATTTGAAAAACATCACCATTCCTTAATATTTAATCAAAATATTCTTTGTGAAATGCCTGTGTCTGTTTCCTTCCTAATGATGATCCATACAGGCTAACGTATTTTTGTTAAGCACAGTTGACCCTTGAACAGTGCAGGGGTTAGGGGAACCCCTTGTGCAATTGAAGATTCATGTATAACTTTTGACTCTCCCAAAACTTAACTACTGATAGTCTGTTGTTCGTCGGAAGCCTTACCAATATCATAACAGTAGTTTATCACATATTTTGTATGTTATATGTATTATATACTGTATTCTTAAAGTCAACTAGAGAAAAGAACATGTTATTAAGAGGATCATAAAAAAGACAATATATTTACTATTTATGAAGTGGAAATGGATCGTCTTTGAGGTCTTCATCCTTGTCTTCACATTGAGTTGACTGAGGAGGAAGAGGAGAGGTGGGTCTTTCTGTCTCTGGGTGGCAGAGGCACAAGAGGTGGAGGAGGTGGATAGGGAGGAAGATAATTTAGGAACACTCAGTATAACTTTTAGTGAAAACAGTCCATGTATGAGTGGACCTGTGCAGTTCAAACCTGTGTTATTCAAGGGTCAACTGTACTTATTATAATTCTGTCAGTCTACTGTTTAAGAAAGTAAAAGAACACAATCTTGGTTCCAAAAATCTACTCATTTTTTTCTACTTATTGTCTGTAACGCTCTGTGAATTTATGCTTTATGATTAAAATATCATTTATACATAGAAACAATAGAATTTAGTGATTGAGTAGATGTTAGGAAAAGGGTAGGAGTCAAGAATGACTCCCCAGATTTCTGGCAAGAACAGCTTGGTAGATGGTGATGTCATTTGTCAAGATGGGAAATACTGGACATGCAGCACATTTTCAGGACATCATCTGTTTGGTTCTGAATATGTTTAAGACATTTATGAGACAATAAAATTGAGATATATTAATAAAGCAATTAGATATTCAAGTTTGGAGTTCAAAAGAGATATATGGCTGGAGATAGACATTTCGGAATTACCAGCATATTTATGCTATTTGAAGACACAGGGATAGAAGAAATCTCTTAGTGCGAAAGAGAAATGTGAGAAAAGGATCCATAAAGGTGACATAGAAGGAGCCTCCATAAGGACATTTAGAAGAAATAGGCCAGGCGTGGTGGCTCACGCCTGTAATCCCAGTACTTTGGGAGGCCGAGGCAGGCGGATCACGAGGTCAGGAGATCGAGACCATCCTGGCTAACACAGTGAAACCCCGTCTGTCCTAAAAATACAAAAAATTAGCTGAGCATGGTGGCCGGTGGTTGTAGTCCCAGCTACTCGGTAGGCTGAGGTAGGAGAATAGCATGAACCTGGGACGCGGAGCTTGCAGTGAGCTGAGATCGCGCCACTCCACACTCCAGCCTGGGCGACAGAGCGAGACTCCGTCTCGAAAAAAAAAGGAAGAAATAACTAGAGGTCCTTTGAAAGCCAGGAAAATGTATATAACAAAAAAGAACCAAGTGTTTCCAGTAGGAACAAATGTCAAATACCTATGAGCGTATGCAGCCAAATAGCCTAGTGTGATTCTGGAATGTAGTGTTTTAGGGAAGATTTTTTCTTATTTGATAAAAGTATCTTCAAATTATACTGAAAAATTATTTTTTACCCTTTGGATATTTACAGGGATATGAAGATTGGTTACGGCATAACTCAGATAATGAAGTAAATGGAGCTCCTGTTTATGTTGTTCGAAGTGGTGGCCTTGTAAAAACTAGATCCAAAAACATTCGGGTATGCATCTGGTAAATAATGGAAATCAGTTTTATCTTGATATCACAGGACATAATTCTAATCTTGATATTACGTTTTAATTAAAAGCCTACTTTCCTATGCTAAAATACTGTGATAGGCTGCTTATTTAGAGCCCAATAAAAGTAAGTCCTTGCGTTTTAAAATTTATAAATTCACTCTTCCCCAAAATTCTTTATAGGTGGGTGATATTGTTCGAATAGCCAAAGATGAAATTTTTCCTGCAGACTTGGTGCTTCTGTCCTCAGATCGACTTGATGGTTCCTGTCACGTTACAACTGCTAGTTTGGATGGAGAAACTAACCTGAAGGTTTGCTTGCATATGTTTGAGTATTGCTCTTGGTGAACAAAATGTCTTTGAATTATAATTATACTTTTCTTTGGTTAAAGTAGTAAAGTTTGACTAGATTAAGGGGAAGTTTTTAAAATTACTATTTCAAAAATTAAAAGGTTTTAAGAAAGAATTGATGTTGTATCTTTATTTCAAGGGTAGCCTCACATGGGTTTAATCTAAGTTAAAAACAAAGTGTTTTTAGGAAAAATACAATCTTTTACTATTTGTAGTACTTTTAAAAGATAAGGGGCAAATTTTTATTTTCTGTTTTCAGAGTGTAATCAAAGGTGAAAATTCACAATTTTTCCTATTAAATTACTTATGATAAAGTAATAGTGACTATGCACACAGACTTAATTTCCTTATGTGCGGATGGCCTCTGTAGACAGAGAATGATAGCTGCCTTTGCCCCTTGTTTATTTTACATGTTTCTTTCTCTTCTGTTGTCTAGCTGAGTGATCTCAAGTACAGTGTGCCATTACTTTACCTACAAAAGAGATTTGAAATAACTGATATCAAAGGTCCCATTTGGATCTGAAAACTCTACAATTTTATTCATTTTTTTCAGACACATCTGGCAGTTCCAGAAACAGCATTATTACAAACAGTTGCCAATTTGGACACTCTAGTAGCTGTAATAGAATGCCAGCAACCAGAAGCAGACTTATACAGGTATGGTGTGATGTTCAGTATACTTATTTTAAGTCCTACTTACAGACCTCATTTTTAAATAACCATAAACATAAAATGAAATCTTTAGCTAATTGGAGACAATATTTGTGGGGTGGGTTGGTGGGGGATGCAATTAATGGTGAAAAAAAGCTAAGAGCAGAAATTGCTAGAATTCTAAGCAAAGGATAATAGTTCAAAGCCAGAGTTTTTATTCACAAGTTTCTTCACATTACCTTCTATTTTGCTTTGAACTGTCATGCTCACTTTGTAGCTATAACAGTAGTTATAGTAGACATAAGATTATTTTCTTAGAAGAAAATAATGATTTTTTTGGTAAGCTCCATGAAGCCAGGGACTATGTCTTTGTTTTTACTACTATAGAGGATACTACTTTTAAATTAGAGGACACTACTTTTAAATTAGAACCTTATAAAGTTTTCAATATTTTACTTACATGTAGCACATAATGAAGTAAAAAATAATTTTCTATAAATATTATATTTAACAGCTATGAGTTTCTCAAAGACAGAAGCTACGATTCGTCTTATCTATCACAATGAATACAAAATAAAAAATCTGTTTTTCTAGTTTGTTAGATTTTTAAAGATCTTGTTTCTGAAAGGAGAGAAAGGAACAGAGGAACTAACTTCTTTTAACATTACGGTTTGCTAAATACAGTGTTGTATACCTTCAGTGATCATCTTCAGTTGTATACCTTCAGTGATCATCTTCAGTAATCCTGCCAGTTATATGTGGGCTGTGGAATGGAAACAACTTTTTATTACTAAAAAATTAAATAATAAAGTTCATTTTTACTCAATAAATGGTGGTAGACTATAAATTACAACCACTTCGTAAAAATCACCCTCAGCTTCTTGTCATATTATATATCGCCCCCTGTTGGTTGAAATGTTTCAAAAGTCTTTAGCCATTGGCTTTTCCAAACTTCTTAGGTATCTTTTTTTTGGATCCATCTTTATAATGGAGGTTTTCTCTATGTGATGTTATAAAAATTGTATACTTTCATCAAAGTCAAATGCAGTGTAGAATTTGCCAATTAACTAAAAACTTTGGAATCATATGCTTAAAAAGCACTTGATAGACTGTAAGACATATTTAACTGTGAAGGATGAAGAATTTTAAAATTTCTATATTGCTGCTATATCCTGGTCTGAGGCAATGGCAGATTATTTAAAAATTATTAAAAACCAGAAAATGGACAACTAAGAACTAAGCAAGCATAAGATCAATATGAGATTAAGTGTAATTAATGCTTTGGTATATGGTTTTTACATTATCTTGGAATATGGGGAGAAAGTTTGAAAAAACATTTTTAAATAACCAGTTTCTCTTATTGGAAGTATATGTTTTGTTTTAAATATAAGTAAAATGTAATCATTGCAACAGGCTTTTATAATAGAAAGAAAACTCGTAATTATATCACTATTTAAAATCTTTGATTGCCATTTTTATTCATTCATTCATTTAACAAATTACTGTTTAGCTAAATCTGTGTGCTCATTGTGATAGGTGAATAAGATGAATAGGAATAGTTTCCCTCCTTGAGGAACTCATAGGAGTTAGAGACTATTTATATAAAATTATATCTTTCATTTTATTATGTACTTGTAACACATATATGTGCTATATGTTATATATATATTCATATATATTACATGTGAAATACTACAAACATTTTAAGTGTCCAAGTAGGAAAATGCTTAGGTAGGTATATATATAGATATTTAAAATCTTTTTCAAGAATTGAATGATATAGGTACATACTGAAATATAATATTAAATGAAATAAGATACAAAGTTGGGCCTCTCATATGATCCCAGTTATGTAAAAATAATGTGTGTGCAATAGCAAAGACATGGAATCAACCTAAATACCTGTCAGTGGCAGATTGGATAAGGAAAATGCAGTAAATATACACCACAGAATACTATGTAGGCACAAAAAAGAAAGAGATCACATCTTTTGCAGGAACATGGATAGAGCTGGAGGCCATTATCCTTAGCAAACTTAACGCAGGAACAGAAAACCAAATACTGCATGTCCTCACTTATAAGTGGGAGCTAACCGATGAGAACACATGGACACAAGGGAACAACACATACTGGGGCCTACTGGAGGATGGAGGATATGAGGAGAAAGAAGAGCAGAAAAAATAACTGTTGGGTACTAGGCTTAGTACCTGAGTGACAAAATAATCTGTACAACAAAGCTCTGTGACACAAGTTTACCTGTATAACAAACCTGCACATGTACCACTGAACCTAAATGTTTAAAAATAAATAAATGTGTGTGTGTGTGTATATATATATATATATATATATATATATACTAAATAGGTAATTAGGTGACAAGATGGAATAATTGATAGCTACAGAAAGAAAAACCTGGAGGAATTGTAGATGAAAATTTAGTAATATTCTTGTGGTAGGATTTCTGCTGATTTTTAATCATCTTTTTCTTTTCCATATTTTTAAATACTTCTTTATTTTATTTATTTTTGAGACAGAGTCTCGCTCTGTTGCCCAGGCTGAAGTACAATGGCACGGTCTCAGCTCACTGCAACCCCCATCTCCCGGGCTCAAGCAATTCTCCTGCCTTAGCTTCCCAAGTAGCTGGGATTATAGGTGTGTGCCACCACACCCTGTTAATTTTTTTGTATTTTTAGTAGAGATGGGCTTTCACCATGTTGGCCAGGCTGTTATCAAACTCCTGACCTCAAATGATCCGCCCACTTCGGTCTCCCAAAGTGCTGGGATTACAGTTGTGAGCCACCCCACCCAGCCTAATATTTCCTTTAAGAATGTGGATTGGTTTTGTGATTTTAAAAAGTATT